TTCGGTTCAAGAGCTCACCTATCTTAGCACAAGATGCGCCTTTCGCAACACAGTTCTTCAATGATAATGATGACGATGACGGGGTATACTATGATGCGGATGATGGTGGAGGTCGATGATTAGATAGGTGCGACAAAACATTTTCTGATATTAGAGAGAAAGAGAGAAAAGGATATGAGCTTTCTTGACTGCTATAAACGTACCTGATGAGGCGTCATCATCCCAAACATTTGCGGATTAAGCGACCCAGGGGGTAGTGGGACAGCCATAGGGGGATAAGCAGGAGCAGGATTGAAAGACTTTTGTTGAACATTCGAAGTATTCTTGGGAGCTTCTGTCACTGTCGGCTTTGGGATGGGTGGCGGTTTTTGAGGCTCCGGCAACTCCGCTGGTTGTCGTTTACAAAACTCATCAAACGAGGTTGCTCCGGAGTTATCTTGAAGATAGAGTCGCATAAGCTCCGTCTTCCGTTTGAATTCTTGCTCGGAAAGACCTAGACGAGCCAGTTGCGTCGTCGATTCCGACGCAACGGCTGCTGCCATTCCGGAAATGCTGTACAAAGACCAAGAGAGCGCTTCTGGGTATAAAATAGGCAGGCCGCTGCTCCAGATCAGTCGGTGCGTTGGGAGACAGTGTACAAGCAACCAATCAAACTCCGCTTGAATCTAGGTTTGCCTCTCGGTTTCAAGTAATCAACATGCATGTATAGCAGCCAAAATAATGTAAATTAACAACAAAAGAAAGAAAAAGAATAAAAAAACAAAACTATGTCTACACGCGTGCTTGGCCTCTCTTTCTCCTGGATGCCCTGCGGATCTCCCCGAGATCGCTTTCCTTTTCTTGATCTTTGGCTTCAGTTAGATGGTAATATGAAGGAAGTCCTTTCGCAACTAATGATCGAGATTGGGTCCATCCTTTGCCCTTTCTTCGACCACCAGTTGGAGCCACAGGAACCACTGCGGGAGGTAAAGGGACAGATGTGAGGGCCAGTGGAAATGGTGTGCTAATATCTTCCATTCGCAATGAATTGCCATTTGGCTGGAGCAATGGCGTTGTGGGTTTTGGTGAAGAGTTACCGGCTGCTACAAGCTTCTCCTTGACTTTGCGGGTAATGTGTGGACGAGCTTGCGCATCTATCACTAGATCTGGAAGAGGAGATTATGAGCTTTAAAATGTACGTTCAGCTTCCATACGCACCACTGCCCAACCCGTCAGCATCCTTTTCTTCACGAGCTTTTCGGCGCCGTTCCTCAATGCCATCTAGTAGTCGCTCCCGAACCCGAGATTTCCCAGTCACCCATTCTTCGTCCACTCGTGTCGTCTCATCGGTGTACGCTTGTTCGGCTCGGAGCAGCAGGGCCTCGTAGTCCAGCATGGCCATATTCAGTCGAGCCGCTCGTTCTAGCGTTATAGGATAAAGTTGAAGTTGATAGCCTCTATCTTCTGTGGGGTCGGTGGAAAGCTGTTGAGCAATGCCAGTTAGCTTCATGCTCAGTTCTGCTGCTTTCTGGGATAAACTGAGAACCGAAATGTAAACAATTCGACGTGTGGCCTCCGATAAATGAAAATACACACTCGTCGCGTGCCAAACTAGCTCCTCCAACGTCTTTTGGACTACGCTTGCGTTTTGGTCTGCTGGAGCTCTCGCCTATGCCATTCAGTAAAACGTGTGCCAGGCCAGGTCAAAAGCATCGCTCACCATACGGATGGTTGGGATTTGGATATGGCATGATGGTCTGTTGTTGCGTGGGTGGAATGGCAAATGTCCCTGCCTGTGGTGGCATTATGGTCGTTTCCAACTAGTCTTCGACCAGATGGTACCATCATACCAACACCACTCTTTCATAGTCCGGGAATTGAGTTGATGCGACCTTCAAACCCTCCCGTTGTGAGCGATGAGATCGACCCTTCGACGATCTTCAAGCTTCCTGGCCCGCCTTATTCTGCCGAAAAACCACCATATTCATATGCCGCCTTGATCGGGCAAGCACTGAACGCTGCTCACCGTAAACGTGCTTGCCTGGATCACATTTACCTGTTTATCTCCACAGTTTATCCCTACTACAAACGAGGGGAGCAAGCGTGGCAAAATTCGATTCGTCATAACCTAAGCCAGAACTCCAGCTTCACCAGACTAAAACACCCATCAGGTGGGCAGCATGGCGAATGGGCTATCCGAGAAGAAGACAAGCACTGCTTTGTAGATGGTGGCTTTGTTCGTTCTGCTCGTCCTGTCGAGATGGGAAGGAAAAGGCGGCGTAAAGGCGCATTCGATGATGATTCTGATCTGGAGGAAGACGTCTCACCGCGAAAGCGAGCCAAGAAAGGCTCAGGAAAGTTCAGTACGAAAACAGAACGCGCTGAAACTGATGCTCGGCATCGTCTGCCATCCCCACCTCCCTCCGAGAAAGTGAACTACGGAGATGAGTTTCACCTTCCTTCAAGACAAGAGATCATGGCACGAGCTCGCAATAGTGATTCTATCATCCCTACAGCAAAGAAATCTCAGAGAAAAGGGAAGAAAGATGTTCGGAGCAAACAACCTGCAAAAAGAAAAAAGAAGAAACATTCTGAATCGGAAATGGAAGAGGCATCCGAAGAGGAGGAAGAATCTGAATTCGAGATGGATACTCTTAGTCCCCTTTTCGGCAAAGGCAGACCATTGAACGGAGATTTAACAATGTTGGCTCCAATAAAGAGACGTGAAGATGACACGACTTCGATGGATGAACCACTCGCTTTTGAAGGGCGCTCTTCTAAGGCTAGCTCGATCTCTCCACCATTAGGATCTGTCCTCTCGGAGTTGCCGTCGGAGACACAGTCCGAGGTCGTATCAGAAGAAGAGGATCCAGACGATATTCAAGCATCGGATGGCCCTGAAGATTCTAATCCTATCAGTGTCCATACAAGCTCACAGAATTTAATGGAACGAACTGTCGAAAGTGCCAGAACTAAATTGAATATCGACAGGGTAATGTCTTCCTTTTAAGTTGGTTAGAAAATACTGACAAGAGTAGGAATCTAAGCGACAGGAAAGATTTAAACACGTCCCTGAGGCCACACTTTTAAACCTATCACCAATTCGCCGCAT